CACACACACACACACGCACACACGCTGAGTGGCCAGATTATTATGACCACCTGATGTTTGTAGGCTAATTAGCCGTACACTGCATCGTATGGGATATGGAAGCCGAAGGCCTGTTCGAACACCTTTGCTGTCTGCAGTTACCAAGATAAAACGTCTCCAATTCACACAGGAACACAAGGATTGGACAGTCGAACATTGGTAAAAAAGTCATGTGGTCCGATGAATCATGTTTCCAGTTGCATCATGCAGATGGCAGAGTGAGAATTTGGTGGAAACAGCATGAAAGCATGCACCCCACATGCATGAGTACAACCCTTCAAGCTGGTAGGGTCAGTGTTATGGTTTGGGGCATGTTTTCCTGGCATGATTTGGGACCTTTAATTCGTGTGGAACAACGTCTGAATAGCACCACATACCTAAGTATCGTTGCTGATCAAGTTCATCCTATCATGTTGATGGCGTATCCCAATGGAGACGGCTTCTTCCAACAAGACAAGGCGCCATGCCACGGTGCTCATATTGTGCAGGAGTGGTTTCAAGAACATGAGGGAGACTTTACCTTGCTTAGGTGGCCCCCACAATCACCAGATCTCCATCCAATTGAGCATTTGTGGGATGAAGTTTAAAGAGCCATCAGGCAGCTGGTTCCACAACCATCAAATCTCACAGAACTGGACAGTGCTATTCATCAGGCATGGTGTCAGATTCCTCGCATCACCTTTCAACATCTCATGGAGTCAATGCCAAGAAGAATTGCCGCAGTATTGAAGGCAAAAAATGGCCCAACGAAGTACTGATGGGGTGGTCATAATAATCTGGCCACTCTCGTTCAAATATATCCCACGTTCAAAGGCTGTCAAATCGCATTGTTTACCCATATCTTCAGAAAAAAATCACTTCTACCGCCGTGGTAAACAACCTGCTGGTCTGGCCCTCTAGCAACTTCAGCGTGAAATTATAGCTAATTTGCCTACAAACGTCAGGTGGTCATAATAATCTGGCCACTAATCTGGCCACTCAGTGTATGTTTGGTCCTCCTCTCTGCCTGAGGACACAGAACACGTATTTTATTCACTGCAGTTTCCCAGCACATAAAGCATCCAGCAGGTAGTATCACTCAGCAAACAGCTGCTGACTGAACAAATATTGAAAAGAACATGTGCGTCAGCAAAGGCCCAAGACGCACGGCTCTTCCTGGCGCAGGAGTGGGGAGCCCAGGAGAAAGGGAGGCGGCTGCAGAGTCACGTGCACACGCCCCGTCTTCCTCATGCTTCCTGCTTTTAAAAGCCCACACAGTAAACGAATCGCACAGTGCATAGTGGAATGAAAGCTAACAGGCAAAAACGTGTTCTTCCCTCCCGCTCGACGATCCTTTCTCCAGACACCCAGCTCCCTGCAGGCCTCGGCCGGCCCTGCGACAGCCCTGGTCCATGTTGGTTCATGGACAGGAACCGGCAAAAGGGAGCAGCAAGCAGCCACCCGGCCGCTTAACTTCGCCTCCGCCGAGTGTCTGAACCCTGAAAAACCTACCTGTCACCCCAGCTGGGTGATGGCAATAAAAGCACCCCCTCCCTGTCCCACCACGCCCTCCGGGTCTCACACACACACACACACACACACACACACACACACACACATGCCCTTACCTCCTCGTTCTGGTAGGCAGTCACAGCGATGAACTGGGTTTCAGGGAAGGAGCAGTTCATGACCATCCGATGGGCACCTCCCACGCGCACTATGTGAACCTGGGGCTCGTATTTGTGCAGGGAATTCAGCATTATCTGTTGAGATGCAAGAAGAGGAAGACGAGCCATGCAGAGCCCGGCTCTTGCGGGTAATGGACCGGCGGTCCCATGGTTCGCCCCAAGCTCAGCACCACCCACTTAGGGCCACACACGGGGCATCCCCGGCCCCCTGAGACGCACCACACCTCTCTGAGCAAGAAGGGGGATTCTCCCAGGAGCTCCCAGGGACCAGGACGTTGGAGCTTAGAGGAGGCTGGGCGTGGGTTTCCAGGGAGTTGTTCTAAAGATTATTCCATTTTCTGCCCAAATCCTGCCTTCCTTCTTTTTCTCTCCCTATTTTCAGAGCAACGATGTGGATTGTGACCCTTAACCGAACTGGTTTCCTTCATGGGAGGGCCCAGGATTCAGTGCCCGGATGTGGCTGCACCCACAGGAGCTGCCCGAGGAGTAGGGATGCTGACACCTGCTGGTCACGGAGCACCCACCCCACACCTCCACTGAGAGGCGCTGGAAAGTGGGAGGCGGTAACAGTTTACTTCCCCATTTCCTGTTTTAACAAGAATGGGAACCTCTGAAAACTGCCAAGACTTGGGGGGCTCCCTCCCGGCTGAGACATGACCTCCTGTGTCCCGGGGGCTGAGCAGGGAGAGGTGGTGGAGGTGCAGAGAATGCAGGCTAAGAGGCTGGCCACTCGAAATATGGGGGTAACAAGCCTTTCCTCTAATGCCCCCCAAATTCTGCATTTCATAAAGTGAGCAACAACCCTACACGGAGCACTGGTATTCGGACTCCGACCAGAGAAAACAGGGGGGGGAAAGCCCCCATGTCCTGTTCACTCGCCCTGAAGACCTTCCTTAGCGGAGGTTTCTTTGGGGAGTTTTTCTGCAAACCCAAAGCTGATTCCATATTCTACTGACAATTATCCTAATGCCCAAGAGGAGGGAGCCATTATTTCATTAGGAGCGGCTTTCGATTAAGGCATTCGTCCACTGCCAACACGCCACTCTCACCAAAATCAAAAGGGGAGAGGGAATAACAAAACCACGGCCGGCTCCCCCTCCCGGGCGCACCCTGCGAGGCTGTGATTAAGTAAGCGCTCTCTTCACATCAGGAAGTCCATTAAAAACTGAAAGCACCAATTAAGAGCTGTTTATTCCTGTTTACATTTGGACTGGGGGGTGGGGTGGGGGGAGTAATTGGCTTCTGTGGGAGAAGAGGCCGGTGAGGACCCCTCTAATTGACTAAATGCACCCTCGTTTCTTCTCCATGGGTTCGTGGAGCGGCGGGGGGCCAGGCCACCGAGCTCCTACCTGGCCGCCTCCGCTGAGCTTGTTGGTGAGCTTGACCTTGCTGAAGGAGATGGGTGCCTTCATCCAGTGAGCCCCGAAGTTGGGCGAGTCCGGGTGGATGTACACGCAGCTGTGGCTGGCGACCTCGGGCTTGCCCGCGGGCACCCACTCCCCGTTGACGTACTTCCAGCGGTGGCTGTCGGTGGGGACAAAGTCCAGCAGGAGGGAGTACATGGCATTGGGGTCCAGCCCCGTCACACTGATCTTTAGAACAGGGAACATCCGTCTGAAAGAAAAGCAGAAACTGAGCCACAGCAGGGATGTGGGAGTGTTAGGGACACTGCCCCCTGTCCAGCCGTCTGTCCACTCTGAGTGCCTTGGGGTGCAGAGAATTCGGGGGGACAAATAAAGAGGAGCCGAGCAGCGGGCCCAGTCCCACAGAGCCCTTTCCGCAGATGCACTCTGTATCGGGGTCACTCTAACCCGTGGGCTCCACGGCGAGTCTGAAACCCACCCACCAGGCCTCTGACAGGGGAGCCTGCAGCCCACGGTGCATAGTCAGACGCACGTTCGCACAGAGAGCATCTCCAATCTTCGCCCGCACACGGAGCACTTCGCACTCACACCCCCAGCAGCCCTCCCCAGTCTCAAAGAACGGGAGCGTGAGTAACAGCGAGAGCACTGCTCGCGAAGATGTGGCTTCACGGTGAAGTGAGGCCAGTTCCTCTCCTGCAGGGCTTCTCGGAGCCCCCACTCCGCTGACGTGCTCCACCACCTCTGAGAAGGGAGCGGGGCGTGGTGCACACTCTGGACTCAAAGACAGTAGCGCCATCTTTGCGTGAGCACCTTGAGGGCATCTGTGCCCACGAGATGTACTGGGACACGCGGGTCTGGCTCGAGGCCCTCCCTCCCTCGCCCGCTAGGACACGCAGCACGTTTGCTCTCACCAACACTTGCAGAGCCCCCTCACCACCTGGCTTCTGACTCCTTCTGGTTTACTTTTCCTTCACCAAACATCCAAAGTTGCTCCAATCTGTCCTCTAAAGGCCTGGTTTCCAGGCACATCCCTGCACACACACACACACACACACACACACACACCCCTGCCCCCCACCACACACACACACACACACACACACACACACACACACATACACACCTGACTGCCCAGGTGCTGTCTTATTCGTCAATACGGCTTTTAAAATCTGCAGCCCCACATCGAGACGCTAACCACCCAGAGTCTACAGACACTTGCTGGTCCATGAACCAGCGTATCCGTGTAGCTGGAAGTTTGCAGAAATGCAGGCCCTCAGACCTCACTCCAGCCCGACTCCATCGGAATCTGCTTTTCTAACACCCCCAGGGAGCCATGGGAACACACATTAAACCTCAGAGGTCTGGTTGGTGCTTAAGATGATAACTAAGGAGACATGCAGGGCGTGGGGGGGGGGGGGGTCTGTCTAAGGACCGCTGCTTCTGAAGAGCTGGGAGGAGAATTAAAGGGAAAAGGGGGATGGGCCTGCCGCTGGGAGAAGGGGTCCAAGCCGGGCAGGGACGGGCACAGGTGCGGGTCTGCGGAGGCACGGAGCCCGTCCCGTGTGCAGCGGTGCCAGCTCCGAGACAGGCAGGATGGGAACTGTTACAGGGGCTCCCTGAGCTCCTGGGACATTTTCCTTGGCTCACCCCCTGCCCCTCCCACCACACTCGCACCTGTCCTCCCTCCCCTTCCGAGTCCACAAGGAGAGGAAGTCCCCGAAACACCTTCCTAAATGTGAATACCTCGTTGGAGACGTATTTACTCCTTTAAGTAACGGCGTGAAGCGCCTGCCCTAGGCCAGGAGAGCTGAGGGTGGGAATCAGTGCCAACAGCTGCAGGCCAGCGTCCTGTTCACCACCAAGTCCGAGCGGAGCAGTCAGGCCACAAAAGGTGAGCAGGTGTCTGTCCACCGTGGAATAACTTTAGCTGCCGGAGCGCCACGGGGAGCGCCGTGGGGGGTCAGGAGGGGGCTGGAGAGGAAGGATTGCTCTCGGTGGACCCCAGGGGTTCGGGGTGACATCTAAGCTGAGACCTAAATAACGAGACGCCGAATGCCAGAAATGGGTGATATCAGCCATATCACCTGCACACAAAGGAGTCGCAGTCCCACGGCCCTGGAGTCCAAATAAGCCTGGACTATTGAGGGAGAAGGCCAGTGAGGCTCAGGCAAACGGAAGAAACAATTCCCGTTTCCACTTCCGCCGCTAACAGGCTCTCTGCCCTCTCCTCTCTCCACTGCATCGTGCCAGGCCCCCAGGAAGGCAGCGCGGCCTTTGATAGCAAGGACAGGTGCCGGCTTCTTCTCCTGATGCTCTAAGGCAGTGGTTCTCAACCTTCCTAATGCTGCTACCCTTTAATACAGTTCCTCATGTTGTGGTGACCCCCAACCATAAAATTATTTCCGTTGCTACTTCATAACTGTGATTTTGCTACTGTTATGAATCGTCATGTAAATATCTGATCTGCTATATGTTTTCCGATGGTCGTGACTCACAGGAAACGTGACCATGTGGGAAGGTCTGGGCCTCCCTGGCCAGGAGGGAAATGCAGGGGGCACCCGTTCCCATCCTCCAGGAGGACAGTGATGTGACGGTGTGGGGAGGACGCGGAGAAGTCGAGCCCTCAGACCCTGCAGGCAGGAGTGGAAACAGTTCAGCCACTTGGGAAAACAGTCTGGCAGCTCCCTGACAGTCAAAGGCAGAACTACCACAGAACCCCGCAAGTCCTTTCCTAGGAGCACGTGCCAGAGAGAGGAAAACACGCATCCACACAAAAACACAATGTTCCCAGCGGCCTCTTTCATAAAGAGCAACAGCGCGCGTGTCCCTCAGCTGACGCATGTGGGGGTGTAAGCACACAGCGGAGTATCAGGTGGCAATAAAAATGCCACAACGTGGATGAACCTGGAGGACGTGTGCTCAGTGAAAGGAGCCAGCCAGAGGGCCATGCGTCGTATGATTCCATTAGCATGACGTGTCCAGAGCCGGCACATCTATACGGAGGGATGGAAAGTAGAGATTGCCAGGACTGGGGAGAGTGGGGGGTGAGGGGTGACGGCTAAGGATGCACGATTTCTTTGGGGGATAGTGAAAACGTTCTAAAATTATTTATGGGACCACATGCACAACTCCGTGAATATACCAAACACCTGACTTGTCCGCTTTAAGTAGGTGATGGCATGGTGTGGGAACTACCACAATAAAGCTGCTAACAGAGGAAAAGGAGGGGCCACGCATCCTGGCTCTCAGAGACCACACTGGGAAGTGTGGAATGGCTTATTCTCTTTAGTACTTCATTTGCCAACAACTTTACAATAATTTTTCATCAACAAACAAAAAACTAAGGGATGCTATGTCTTTTTAAGTCTCCATTATGCCAGGAAGGAGTAAATATAAGTCAGTCAATTTGCCAAAAGTCTTGTAAGGGGTCTGAAGCGCCCCCTGCCTGGGAGCCAAGTTCAGCGCCTCGGGCCTCACAAGGGCTAGGAGGCATCGCGGCTTACCTGTGGGCAGCGCCCGGGGCCAGGTTCATTTTCAGGGGTGAACTGCTCTACTCATCAAGTTGATTCCCACCCCCCTTTTCTTTCCAAGGTGCTGGTAACCACAGAGATGCCCAAGAGTTTTGGGGGAGCTGAGAAATGTGTAGATCACTCCCAACTAAGAGAGGAGGAGGGTGGAGAGGGAAGGCTGGAGAGAGGGGGCAGGAGAAGGGAGAGAGAGAGAGAGAGAGAGAGAGAGAGAGAGAGAGACTGGGGAGGCAGTGTGGCAGGTGAATGAGGACTCCACAAGCCACGTGTGAGGAGCCATGGGTGGCTGGGCTGCCCATGAACCCTATTGCTTTGCCGTGAGGCTATTGCCGTGAGGCTAGTTTTCATGTTGGTTCCCTAACTGGGGACTTGGAGGCAGCAGGGCAGAAGGAGGCTGTGAGGAGTGAAAGGGGCAGGCACAAGGCAGATGATGCTGTGGGTGGGGGACGGCAGAGGTGGTGAAGGCAAACTCCTCAACTCCCTCCTCCATCTCCCCACAGAACTAGAATTTCGTGGAACAGTCATCAGAGCTCTGGGAGTGTGTGTGTGTGTGTGTGTGTGTGTGTGTGTGTGTGTGAGAGAGAGAGTGTGTGAGTGTGTGTGTGAATGTGAGTGTGTGTGTATGTGTGTGAGTGTGGGTGTGAGTGTGAGAGTGTGTGAGTGTGGGTGTGAGTGTGTGTGAGTGTGTGTGTGTGAGTGTGTGTGAGTGTGTGTGTGAGTGTGTGTGAGAGTGTGTGAGTGTGTGTGTGAGTGTGTGTGTGTGAGTGTGCATGTGTGTGTGTGAGTGTGTGTGAGTGTGTGCGTGTGTGTGAATGTGAGTGTGTGTGTGTGTGTGTGTGTGAGTGTGTGTGTGAGTGTGAGAGTGTGTGAGTGTGGGTGTGAGTGTGTGTGTGTTAGGGCAGATTAGACAAATACACGTGCTCCTCATAAATCGCAGCTGTAAACTCGGAGAAGAATGTCTGGGTGGGGGGATAGGACACTGACCATTTGCCTGTGGGTGCGCAACCTGAATTCTCCGCTCTGCACGGGCTCACTGGAACCGTGACCATCAGCCACGGCTGGCAAATTCAACTTCGGACCCCAACACCTATTTTATGACAGCAAATGGACGTGCCTGCCTGAAGGTGAATTCAGTCAGCATTGAGTCAAAATGATTTAGCGGGTGGAAGTACACATGACCAGGAGCACTTTCCCCAAGGACGTTACAGTCATGGAAACAAGAGGGACAAGGGATCCCACTTATTCGCCTCTGCAGCCCGAAGCCAGCCTTCTCTGCCCCTAAAATAGAAGTCCGAGCTCACAGGCTCAGAGGAAGTGCTGGGGGCTGACCTCCAGCGGTGATTCAAGGGGCTCTGGGAGGAACTGCAATTGTTGTCTCTGAAAGACTGACGATGAATCACTAAAAGTTCTAAATAAAAAAGAAGGAAAGAAACAAAGAAGGAAAGGGAGAGGATGAATTAAAACGGACAAAGAGAGGGAGGAATGTGGGTGGCAGGATCCCAGGTCCTGGGGACAATTCAGTGGTTTTCGGGAAAAATCCTCTCTCTTTGCTGCTTCTCACCAATGTCAGAGGTGAGCCTCCGGTTTACGCACGGAAACCGCTCTCCATCGGGAAGCGAGCCTTTCCCTTCTTTCACCAGCGAGTGCGGGCGCTCTCCGCTCTCCGGGAGCTGGTTCTTATCATCAGAACAACCAGGCCCAGTGCACAGGCGCACAGCCCCCACCGAGGCTCTTAGGAAAGTCAGGAAGCCCCCTGCCTGCAGGGCGCAGGTAACATGACTAAAGGCTCGGGCTGGGAGGAAACTCCAGGAATATTCTGCTCCCGGGAGAAGGGCCACCGTCCACCCACCTCGGGCTCCGGGGCTGGTGTGGGAGACAGGGAGTGGGGGTTTGGAGGAGACACAGGGGCTACGTCCCAGGAAAAGGGTAGAAAGCAGACATTGGAGTAGGCGGTTAGGAGAAAAGCAGACGATGGAGAAGGTAGTGAACAAGGTGACGAAACAAGAACGGCGTGTCTGTGCAGGAACAGGAAAGCGTTGCTAACCCTCCACCCGTGGAACGGAGGCCCAGTCGCCCCAGACCCATCGCTCCTCACCCACGTCCGCCTCTCAGAGACCTGCCCCGTCTCCACCCGAGGCCTGAAGGAGCCTCTGTCCCCCTGCGCCCCGAGGGTCAGAGCCCTAAGAGGCCTCCGGAAAGACTCAGCTCACGGGAGGAGGGACACAGCGAGAAGCCAAGCTGACCATCATCGCGCTTTTTCTATAAGGAAAGTTCATGTTAGAGGACTTCAACCTTGTGAAGAATTTTACATGTTAAATATGGAGAAAGAACACATGATGGGTAAAAACGGCAAGAGAAAGTGCATGCCAACATGGCATGTGATTAAACTGAGTTTTATGATGGCATCAGACTTCTGTTTATTCCTGACTGAAAGGGATGAAATATATTCCCACTTGGTGGCGGTACTTGTTTCACGTTTATAAATGACCCGCTGACAGCCAACTAGATAGTGTGAGGCTGGGTATTAGCATAACCACCGCCCAGCAATACAAAGAATAAGGAACAGAAAGTCCTGCCTCTTATCAGATATCATCAGATGCTTACAACTGTGCCCCCACTCGTCTCTGAACAGAAGGTAAATCCAGCCCTGGCCAGGTGGCTCAGTTGGTTGGAGCAGCATCCTATACACTGAAAGGTTTCGGGTTTGATTCCCCATCAGGCACATACCTGGGTTGTGGGTTTGATCCATCCCCAGTCAGGAGGCAATCAAATCGATGTTTCTCTCTCTCTCTCCTCTTTCTCTCTCAAAACATATCCTCAGGTGAGGATTAAACAAACAAAAATCATGTTTTATATCTCTTTCTACCAAAAACAATGTGTAGCTACCTATAAAGAGTAGGAACAATTACAGATTTTAAAAGAAATACATCATACGCCCTACATATGAAATAAAAAGGGGGACCCATTAGAGAGGGAAAATAAAAATATCGAACAAGTTTGACATCCTGGCACTCGCACCAACCGCATGGATTGCCTGGCACACCTGTCACTGCGAAGCAATGTCACAGGACAGCACTCGGCCGCGCGGCTCTCCCGGGGCCGTAGGAACGGTTCCCTCCCTCCTCTGGGCACTTTTCTAAAACATGGGAAAGCGAGACCTCAGGATGGAGGCACTTTGCACAGGACAAACGCCTCCCGCAGCGCGGGCCCTGGCCGTCCTCTCCCGGGAGCAGAGCTTCTCTCCGGGCGGCTGTCACCGTCCTGCCAACCTGCCACCGACAACGCCTCCCGCCTCTGTCCTTTCGTGGCCACGTGACCCGCACGATGAGTGAGCGCCGGCTGGGTGCCGGGAGCCGGTCTGCCCAGGCAGGGAGCAGTAAAATTCTCTTTCAAAATACTTCTCTCTCCTACTAACTAAGTGAAAGCTTCTAAAATTACCTGCCAGCCCCTTAGCGGACGAGGTTTAATAGAATCTGAGAATGCCAACCGAGATCAGGTTCCGTTAATCCCCAATTTGTTGCAATGAGAAAAAAAAGAAATCTCCCCGGCTCAGGCGGGTCCATGCCAGTTTCCATTACCTG